AGTAAATTAAGTTATTTGTGCAGGAAATTGATAAATAATTGTTTCATGGGAATCATTGATTTCTTTATTTTCTTAGGATTCAAGAACCAACCACATCTTTTGGTTTTCAATGAACTGCTTCTTTATTCCTTAAAATTTCATGTTCCAATACAATTGCAACTTGCAAGCAATGCTAGAACCAAATCAGTCTTCTATTAAATATTTTATAAAATGCACATGTATCTGTCCGATGAAGCTGTATTTTTAAAGCTATGCATGGCAAATTATGCACAGCATTGATAGGACAGTTTCACGCAATCGAAGCATAGGGTCAATAAAAGTAGTCCTCATATTCTACTTTGGTTTAAGGGTTAGATTTTGAAGGATATGAAACTAAGAAAGGAGAGATTGAGTGCATGAGCCACAGTAAATTTTCATTATGCAAAATACTTAGGTACACACTGATAAGGTAGTTACAAATCTAGCTCAACAGTTATCCAATACAAACAAACTTCTTAACAAACTGCTATAAACTTAAAAAAACAGAAAACAGTAATTAATTTGAAAATAAACTAATTCAAAGTGCAGCTTTGGTGGCACGCTTATCTGGAACAGTTCCAACAGATTTCTACATTTTGGGAAATTCAGGCTTTAAGAAGGTTTCATTTGTTTTTTCAATATAAAATGAAAATGGTTACAAACCACATATAAAAGACAGCCTCGGGGTGGACACTAAATCCTTCTGTTGATATCTGAGTAAGAACCTGAAGGGTATGTTTCTACATTGGAGTTTAGGGCCTAAGGTTTATTTAGTCCTGAAGTTGAAAAAACATAAGGTACTAATTGCACCCATGGACAATGTTCTGGACATGACATACATCACTATATATAATCCTTTACCGAGCCTCCAAGATCGATTGGGTGATTTCGTTTACTGAGGTCGAGTCATGCTTACTTGTTGAAGAATCCATTTCAAGTGCAGTCCTTTCAAGCAAGAAACCAGGCTGTTTTGGCTGAGGCAATTTGATCTCACTTCCCAACATCATCACCAC